AACTTACCTGATGATGGGCCAACACTTCTGGAACTTTGTAGAAAATCTTGTCAGCCAATCCGGATTCGATAAGCGTACACTCTAGTGGTTGTCGCAAAGGCCGCATGTATTTCTGTGGAAAAACTCCATTAGAACATGACCGAACTGAGAAGTTGTCAGACAAGACAAGCCTGCCTACCGGACAGCACCGCCCACCCTCTAGTAATTAGGGAGGTCTCGACTTATAAGGAATGCAGTTCTCAAAACACCAGAGAAAACAAAAAAGGGTTACAAGTTGTTACTGACCGTAATGAGGAATTCTAGGCCTTCAACGAACGATTTCTCTGTATCGTACAGCTCTCGAGCGGCCAAATTTCGAACACTGAAATGGGTCGATTTAAACGGAGAAAGTCAGCATTCATTGGGAAATATTATTCAAAGGCTCATACTCAATAATTTAATGGGCGGAGCCGGTCCCGTAATTAGGCCCCGTCATTGACGCGCCACTCAGGACTCAACCTGTCTTTGGGAAAAACCTAGCAAAACACGGTTCCCCTCCAAATTTCTATCTCTGATACGAGCTCTCCATTCCCAACCCTCCATTCTACCTACCGTCCTAACTTTTTCCAACTTTCCAACTTCCTACCACCTTGCCGGAGTTCTTTTCCGAACACTCATCAACGTTCCCTTCTAAGAAAATGGCTCTGAGCGGGGGGGGGTATATCGAAACAGGGAAAATCATGAAAAGCGAACAGTCTAAGGCATTTTTCATAAGACAAATAAGACCCATCTCCTCCACTGACCAGATACGACCACCTTGCTGGGAATCGTCAACGTGCGACGACCCTGGCACCACTTGTTGGAGAAGGCGGGCTGTGAAGTTGCTTAGGGAATCAGCCGTTACGAGACTGGTAAACAAAGCACAATGATAGTCCTGACCCCGCCCACAACAAACAGAATGGAATAATGTCTTCAAGGTTCTTAAAGATACGACTGAACTAATTTGAAATAACAATGTCGCCTATGACATAGCTCTACCTGTAATGCTTCCTAAGACTGGCCCGAGAGCGCTTCTTCCACAACAGGATATCGGCCTGTAACAGAGAATCCTCCATACGGCATTCTTCACCTGCAGACTCGGAAAAGCCATATGGCCGCCTGAAACAGGTATTTCTCAAGAAATCCACCGGAAGCACTGGCATTAGACCTC